TGCGGTATCTGGTTTAACATAAGGGACTCATCACACTTATCGAATCGGCTACGGCTGAAGCCAGTCAGAAAAACTTTATATCCATGCACGACGTTGTGCGTTGCGCTGTATTGAATCGCATCATCCGAGCCGAAGCGACCCGCATGTCTTTTTCACTCTTATTGCATGTCGATAAGTGTTGTAACTCTAAAACTACAGACACAAAATGTATGTGGTTAATGGGGCAACTGTAAGGGAAACCAAATTTTTTTAGGGGATTAAAAATATTTTGTTTTTAAATTTGTTGGTATTACAAGTACCTTAAATAGCTTAAATACGTTTTTTACGCTCTGTAAAGGTTTATACGGGTGGATAGATATTTCTTTACGCCTCCTAAATAACAAAAATCCACACTGGCGTGGTTGTAATTTTTTTCTCCTTGGATGCTCACTAACGTCGTGGTATTTGATATGATAGCGGTGAAATCGAAAAAAAATCCCACCAAGTATTAGTAATGTGAGCATTAACTACGTTTCGGTTTTGTTGGATGCTAAGGGTGCTGGTGAACTACAGGCATGCGGGATTTGTCAGCTTGTATCGCATGATGACGGGCACAGTGGTAGTGCCCCTCAGATCTTTGTGATTTAAAACTCTGTGGCACTGCAACAGTTATGGACAGGTGTGAAAAGAAAAAGTCGTGCGCTTGGTTAAGCGATACCACCGCACGCGCGCACGACTTTTTCGTCCTGTAACTTGGTATCATAAAAAAAGTTGTTAAATACTAAATAAATTCATCAATCTTGGCAGCCCTAAGGGTTGCACGTCACATAAAATAATCAACCAATTACAAATAGCATGGCCAAAGTATTAGCCAATAGTAAATGAGCTAATTGTGACTACAAGGGGTTTAAAACGTGTGTATGTATATGCACATTCTCGACTTTATACAGTTCTGAAGCAAACCTTTATTATATTATAATAAACAGACTACAACACCTTTAATACTATTGCAGTAGAGCCGGCTTGTCCTTTCTCATATTTTTTATTCATTTAAGAGAAAAAGAAATCGAATTGTCGACTCAACTCAGCGATTTAGTAGAAACACAATTAATTTATGTGTCGTTATATGACGACAACACTTGGATCGATTTTCTGGTGGATCAAATTTGTTTACCTTGGTAGGGAGTAATGCTTTTTTTTTTATCACAAATCTTCACTAAGTAGTTAGCTTGGATTTGGAATATACCATTGTGGGGTAATGATGCTGACTCAACACATTCTTAACGTATTTGTATGTTTGCAGGTGTGTGGCAAAGTTCTCTCATCAGCTTCATCCTACTATGTTCACATGAAACTTCACTCCGGAAATAAACCCTTCCAGTGCACGGTAAGTACCTAAATAATAAATAGTCCATTATTTTTATAAAATATTTTTATAGAAATTACGAGCAACTAAGCTCGAATAGAATTACTGTACTTTTTGCGTCTATATAATGGCGTTGCCAATAATAATAGCAGACCCGAACATTTTTATTATAAAATTAGGCATTTATATTGTGACAAAATAAAAAAAATGTGAGATATAATAGGAGTCATATCACGTCAAGTGGTCGAAAAAGCAACCTGGCTGCTTAAACTTTTATCCTGGGGCTTAAATTAAAGTAATGTAAGAAATATAGGCAAAATGCGATGCGATTGATGAAATGAAATGAAATTATGTTTTATTTCTCAATCACAAAGCAGGCTTTAGAGTAGGGAACTTAAGGTTAAGACAAGCCCAAATACCAAGATTAAGATATTAGCTTATCATTATTTACAATCACTAATCAATACATAATCATAAACTATCGACTCTGTGCTAAGCGCGACATCATTTCCAATGACGTTTAGAATCACCTTCAGTTGTCGTTGAACAGATTTTATGCAAAAAATCCACGAGATACGTAGCGTTATCCTATTATTATCCTATTAGCGTTATCCTATTACCGTTATTCCTACAAATTAAGTCCACAGGCATATAATTCGGAAAGCTAACGAATTTTTGTTTAAAAGTAAAGTTTATTTGGAGCATGAATAAACACTTCAGCACATAAATATATAATTTCCA